TATTGAATGATTCTATACAATGATTAAAAAGAACATCTGTGATTCAAATTCAATCTAAATAAACAAGTTATGTTGGCAGCAAGTGTCTGATTCAAATATTGGGCAAGTGTGCATAAGGAATATCCACTGGTGGCAGCGAATGAAAGAGAAAACGTTGCCAGAGTGAACCTTGGTTTGGGAGAAAAACAAACAGGGAACACTGGGTGGAATGTCACAACCCTCAATTAATTTTGACCAGACAAATCAAAACTGCACCCTAATTTATGCTTGCATAGTAATTAATATTAATCTAAAATTCCTTCAATTAATCTTGCCAATGCCAATCAAACTAATTAATTTACTTTTAATGACACACTTAGTTGACTATCCCCTCTTATGTATATCTGAAATTTAAAGATTTAGTAAATACTATTCTATTTTAAATTAATTATTATTTATTATTAATTAAGTAATGTAATCAATAATATTTTTTTTAATTTGTCTGTGCGTTAACCAGGCTAGAGAAAATTACAAGGCCAATTTAACTGCAGTACCTTGCTAAGCCACCAACTATCCTACAACTACAACATGGCGCTGTTTGAACTGCGTGCCACCTAGATGTACTAAACACTGGCCATTGGAAGAAGGGAAGGTGGGAGGGTGAGGGCAAAATTGCACCCTAGCAGCCTGTGAGCCAAGCAGCTAGCTGGGTGCCCAAATGGTTGGAGCCCAAAGAGGTTGTTCCACACTTCAGCTGCCTCACACCAACCTGAGCCTTGCTGAGTAAGTTAAATGCTGACTCAAGCGCTGCTCCCACAACCCAGCCCCTTCGCTTGGGCTTTTTACTGTCTTTCCTTCCTGTCTTTTTACTGCTTATTTATATATTATCCAATTTATTATTTATTCCTTATTACTGGGGGGAAAAACACCTGAAGCTCCTGGGCTCCGATCGTGCCGAAATGCAATCCACGCAAGCCATGCGGTCACGCCCCACCTTTCCTTGCCCCTGCAAAGTCCCGACAACAATAAAATATACAACAGTAACTCGAACTTCAATAAATTAACATAAACTGAACACGAAATTCAAGTATGAGAAAAACAATATTGGCAACCAAACCCCAGGAGGGAGCCAATGCTACCCTCCCAGCCTCCCGAATGCTGTTCCTTGTAGTCTCGCTTAGTGATGCAGCTGGTGAAGAACTGAGCAGCGGAACTATATCCTTGCTGAATGCCAGAAAAGGAAGAGGGTGGAGAAAGGGGGGAACGTCCCTTAAATATTTCACTTGCTCCCTTGAGACCTAAGGTCTTGCGTTATTGAGGGAGGGAGGCAAGGGCGAGCCACGCTGTTGAAGTTTAAGCTCAGCAGTGGCTCAAGCACTTGAAGAACTTGTGAAGCGGGCAATAGGCCGATTTCTAAGAGTGCCATGAGAACGGCATCGTCTGCATATAGTAGCAGGGGTACATTGATTCTAGCCAGTTTCAGGGAGTGATATTCAGGTACTAAACAACTTTTAGAGAGGTTGTTAAGATACACGTTGAATAGTGTGGGTGCCATTATGCAACCTTGGCAAACCACTCTCTCCACCCGGATGGGGTTTGACAAATTTCCATCCACTCCACATCTTACCCTAATTGTGGACTGTTGATAGAGGCTTCTGATAAGGTATAAAAGCCTTTTATCAATCAAGGAAAAATAATTTTTTTCTGTAAATTTCCTCCGAGAATTAAATCAAAGGCAGACTTTAAGTCTATAAAAGTTGCAAACAGGCTGTTTCCGTAAGGGCCCATAAACTTCTCTGCAAGGTGGTTTAAAATTATACAATGGTCAAAGGTGTAGCGATTCTTTCAGAAGCCAGCCTGTTTGTGAAACAGACAATAAATTCTGTATTTCCATGGCTTGTTTAATGAATTTAGCAGTCCTATAGGATATATAGTAGTCTGTTCCAGCTATAAAGCTATTCATAAAGAAGTGTTCTTGATACCAATTGTCAAGGGTTTAAGGTATTGGTTCCTTAGATCTGCATATAGAGGTCATACTTTTAGAAAATGTATCATGTCCTCTGTTTTAGAGCATCCTGCTGGGCAGTGTCTGCCTGTACCATGCGGGGCCATATAATGTCCCTGAATCTCTTTCAACTGGAGCAAGTTCAGTCTGCATTTAGTAAGTGGATGTTCTCAGCTTGTGTTTGCTAATAAGGGACAAATATGGGGGCAGTTTCTAAAAGGCCACAAAAAACCTTTGTACTGTATATCCTATTGGAGCAGAAGCAGACTACAGATGCCATGGTAGTCTGGATATCAAGCTGGGCCATATAATGTCCCTGAATCTCTTTCAACTGGAGCAAGTTCAGTCTGCATTTAGTAAGTGGATGTTCTCAGCTTGTGTTTGCTAATAAGGGACAAATATGGGGGCAGTTTCTAAAAGGCCACAAAAAACCTTTGTACTGTATATCCTATTGGAGCAGAAGCAGACTACAGATGCCATGGTAGTCTGGATATCAATATCATCTAATCTTTCAATGATATCTTCTTGGGCTGCTTCCCTTCTGTGGAGCCAGGCTGGGGAGTAACCCAGCTTTGATATAGTTGTGGATATCTTAGCTGCCCAGGAGTCCCTTCCCATTTCTTCATAGGCCAATGAGACCAACAGTGAGGCCATATGGTACACTATTTTGAGCCAGAACAGCACAGCTGCTTTCTTAGCAAGAATACCTACAGAGTAGCATGATATCTCAGAGCGGACTGTGGCATGGAAGTAGATCTTAGTACCCCTAGTGCTCTGGTTAAAAATTGTGTTGGATGGATTCCAATTTTCTAATACAGTATTTGAAAAAGTACACATTGGGGCTCCATAAAGCATCTGGGAGAGCAGTTCATTTTTCAGCATTTTGATTAGTGGTACCACTATTTTTCCACCTGGTCCAGAAGAAAAATACTAAATAGAATTTGCAGATGCCTCAGCTGACAGAGCTGCAAATTCTAATGACCCAATCATGTTCCTGATCTTTTAAATGTTACTCCAAGATATTTATATGAGTTGCTCTGTTCAAGCACTTTTCTGTTCAGCTGCCATCTATATTTCTTTTTTACTTTTCCCCAAAACTAACATTTTGGTTTGGGTTTCATTTACCTGGAGATGTTCATTGGCACAATAAGCACCTAAGGTCCTTAATAGTCTTCACATCCCCACCTGGATGTAGGACAGGAGAAAAGCATCATCTGCATACAAAAGCACTGATATATTCCTCTGGGGGGTGGGAAGAACTTGGGTTTGGATAGGGAGGATATTACATTATTTAGGAATAAATTAAATAGAAAGGGGGCTAATAAACATCCCTGGCATACTCCCTTATTTACAGGGATTGGATCTGAAAGACTGTCATCAGAAATGACTTTTACTCATAGAGTGGTATTCTTGTACAGTCCTTTGATTCTTCTAAACAACTTGCCATCTATATTCATGAATTCCAATTTGTTCCAAATGTGGGGTCATTATATGGAATCAAAGACTACTTTGAAGTCTACAAAAGCTACAAAAACTGAGTGCTGGGGGTAGGAGATGCATATTTATTTCCCCACTAGATACTGCAATAAAAAGCAGTGGTTAATTGTGGACCTGCCAGAGCAGAATCCTAGTTGTTCCTCTGCCAAGAGGCTCTCTGATGACACCCAGTTTTCTAGTTTGCCCCCCAAAATGTCTTGCATATAGTTTGTTGACTACATCTAGGAGTATTTATAGGGTGATTATTCCTAGGTTCTGATCAAGCACCTTGGCTTCAGCCCATTCTGAAATGAATTTCCTAGATGTGTCTATAGAGGTAAATAAGGCAGCTAGCATTGGGATCCACCAGTGTGAAGTCAGGCAGGATTTCATTCCTTCCTGGGACCTTGCCCTTCATTAGTTTTTTAATCAGCATTGCTACCTCATCACAGGTGACTGGGGCCCAGTGAGGTAGTGCTTGGTCATCCACTTGCAAAAATGTACAGAGACAGACCTTCTATTGCTCCCTGTTTTTGTTTTTGTTTTAGATAAAGTTAAAGTAAATTAAGCTGAAATGGTAAACAAAGAAAAAGTTCCATGTTGCAGAACTCAGAAAGACCATTTAAACAGTGACCGAAGTCACTGTTTCTCTTCACACCATAGCTTGGTGAAATGGGTGATGGAGTTGCTGCAAGTGGATATCTATACTGAGCCGTAAACTTACTCCAAGCCCTCCCTAGCATCTCATGGTTGGAGTGTTCAACTTGTTTGGGGGGATTCAACTGCCTCTTTCCAACTCCTTGCTTGTTTGTTTGTTTTTGTTTGTTTCCTGCATTTCTCATAAAAAGAACTCAAGATGACTTAAAGTATTAAAATAATTGACAGTATTAAAAGCTAAGAGCAATAAATTATTACAATCTTATAAAGAAGTAAACAAATATATGAAAACTAGTAGATAAAAACAGTACTACAACACTTTGAAAATAACACCAACAAAGCACAACAGTTCCATTTTAAAACATTATATTAAAAATGTTAGGTAAAAGCATTATTAAAAACAGATTTGGAAACAATAAAGTAAAAACCATCCCATTTTAAAAACCCCTCCTATGTCAGTCAGTCTCTAAGGATAAAAAAAGAGAACTCTCTGCCTGCTTGCAAAAGGACAGCAAAGATGGGTCCAGACTGTCCTCCTGCTGGAAGGCATTCCAGAGTTATTTGTGATTTTATGACACTAAAAGTAGTGACAGAGAAATTAAATGCAGCAACAGGAGCCAAGTAATAGTTAGTCATGACCTCAAACAGTGTTTCCCCTTTTAAAAAAAGGACCCAAGATGGCTTGCACATTAAAAATACAATTTCAAAAGCTAAGAACAGTAAATTATTCAAAGATAAAGAAATTAATAACATATTAAAATGTCAGGTAAAAATGTTACTAAAAACAGATGTCAAAGCAACAAAATATAAACCATCCCATTTATTGTCTCCCAGGCACCCATCACTAAAGAAAAGCCTGCGTGGAGAGAAAGGTCTTCAGCTGCTTGCAGAAGGACAGCAAAGATGGGGCCACTATGGCGTCCTGTGGGAGGGAGTAGCAGATTCTGGAAGCACTGGTGGAGAAGGCCCTGTTCCATATTCCCACCAACCACACCTGTAAGGGTGATGAGTTCCAGATTATTTTTATGCAACTGAGCATGAGCTCCTTGTTCTGCCCCACGGTCATTCCAGAATTTCACATTTACCTCAATTTGACCCATTCTTGCACATTTGTCTGCAAGCAGTAGATATGTTTACTTTATGTATTTTCTCTTTAGAAATGTTTGTAACATTGAGTGTTGCATGGAGACAATTGGCTATAAGTTCGAATAATGAAATGAATGGTTGATTTCCAAATCCTTATGATATGGCAGATCATTAAGACTCCTACTTTTAAAGACTGGAAGTCTGCAATATTCAGGCCATCACCTTTGTTCTGTAAGGTAGCAGAAGGAGAATCATCTGCAAAATGAGGAAGAACAGCAGGAGGGGGTCATAAAAACACTAGGTTGTCAGAGATTTACTTCCAGAACACTGGCTCCAGTTGATTAGCAACTAAGAAGAGGATTTGAAAGGCAAATAGGGAATCAAAAGAGCAGTGAAAGGCATAAAACCACAACTATATATGAGATGTGTTTTGAAATGATATGTTGTTCAGGAAGAATTGTTGCTACATCTTCTGGGTGCTGCTGCTTCCTCTCTCTGAAACATACATTTTCTAAATTAATTTTACGTATATGGCTGTGTTTATCTCAGGAAAGTGAAAGACTTCTAGATTAACTGAAAGACCATTTGTTGGAAAACTATGCCACTTCTTTATCAGACTATATTCTGTATGATGTAGGTTACAAACCTAATCTGACAATTAATCAACTTTTATGATACACACCTCTAGACATAGTGCCTAAAATATAAGAAAATCTAACTTAGTCACCTCTATATTGCAATGTTATTGATGGGGTTTCCTTTTCACATTGACTTGCCTCAAGGTGACACTACAACCTAAATCAATCATTGCTTCCCCTTAGAGCAGACTCACGGGATAGAATTCTGTTGCACAACTTTGCACACAAAAAGATTATGTCATCAGCTACAGACTTTAGTCTCATCCCCACCACCACCACGTATCAACACTCCCTATGGATCTCTTTTTGCCTGAATAAGTCTTTTGGAATGATGGAATGAGAGTGGGGGGGTCTTTAACATTAAAAAATCACTATTGCCAGTCCTGATCCTGGTAGGGTACTGACTGATTTTTCCCTTTTTTCTTTTGGATATTAAAGGCTTCCAAAGGTTTCTACAGGTCAAAATGAATCCCAAGACAGCCTCATAACCTGGGGATGAATATAGAAAACTTCGAATTAAAGATGAAAGTCTGCAGCTGATTACACAATCAGCCTTTATGTGCATGGAGTTGAATAACAGGACTCCAGCCAGTGAATCAATGATAACATGGTACAGTAAGTTAACACTTCCATTAGTTGACTCAATGTATCTTCTCTGGTTCAGATTAGCAATTGAAATTAACCTTGCATACAGTATTTATTTTAAAAATCTATTTCTAGATTTATTAATTTATTTTGCTTTTGAATCTCTGGGAATATGAATCTTCTGTCCTGAATGGTATTTGATATTTCATTGTGCTATATCTTAGCAATGCTTTTTTGTGAATTAAGTAATGCACACATAAACAGACAATTGTAAGAGAAAAATAAGCTATGGCCAAAATCCTGTTGTGATTTTATTATGGAAATGGTGCAACTTTCTAAGGCAAACTGCTTCAAGTTAAGATGACTCACTGCACAGCAGATAATGTCTTCTTAACCTTAGGCAATTCACCTCCAAAAGTTACACCATTTGAGTTACACTTGTGGGTGTGGCATGAACAGGGTGGAACACCACCCTTACATGTCCCTCATGTTAAACTGGCATTCATGCATTATGATCAGAAAGAAGGCAAAGAGTTTGTTCTTTATATGAGAAATAAATCTTCCTTGACTTTCCTGCTGCAGAGTCCTTGGTTAAATAACAAAGTCTTGTGGCTGCAACCCACTGATTTCAGATCCAACAGAGCATGATGCAAAAGAAAAGACAGGAACTGTGAAATACAAGTCCCCCTGTATTTTTCTTTTAAGAAGGACTCAAAGGGTACTGTGCCCGTTGCCCCTTTGAAATCTTTCACCCTTCTCCTTTTTTTTCCAGCTGCCTTATGATTGGGATTTTCTACTCCCAAGTGGAAAGGGGGAAAATAATAATAAAAAAGAGATTCCAGTTCTGCAGATTGCTACTGGTGCCCTTCTGGCTTTCCTACACCATTCAATCTATGCCTGGACTTTGTTGTTTGCATTTCCCAGTTTACAGAAATGGAAACTTCAGGGGGAACCCGAAAAGCACAAATATTGTCATAGACATGGACTGAAACTACATGTTGCAGATAACCTGCAGTAAACTTTTTACTGTAGGTTGTTTGCAAGCCAGAGTAAAATCACTCCTTTCGCACATCCTGTTTTGATGTAGTGAAAACAGAGTAGCTGGCTGCCCCCCTTCTGGCAAGAACAGCATTAGCTAGCTAGTGCCAAAGTAGCTAGGAAGGTTCCCAGCACTGGGGGTCAGCTTCAGCAACTCTGTTTTCACTGCACATGGGGCAGGTATGGACTCTGCTACCCCTTCTCCTCCTCAGGGCATGCTTGTCCAGTGGATGGCTGGATGCGGAGCATGCTAGCAGCAGCCATGATTGTGGGGGTCTCTGCCATCAAATATGCCCCTCCTGCTGCTGCTGTCACTGCTGCCACCACTGTGCTCCTGGCCACTCCTGTCCAGCTACCTGCTGGATAAGCAAGCCCTGAAGAGAAGAAAGGACTTTCTTGCCTGGCTGATGCTGTATTTCTCTTCAAAATGGCATCCAATGTGCAGTATTTTAAAGCACAGTAAAGCTTATATCATGTGAAATGACCAGAGCTGCTTTGTATTCAAACCGCATGTATAGTTCCAGCCATAGAGAAAAATCGGATTGAAGTATTCTTAAGTGGGCACAGAGTGTGGGGATGCAGTCTGTACGCATCTCTAGTATAAAGTCAACAGAAGGGAACTTTGGTAACATATTTATTTAAGTAAATGCAAATATGTTTGATTTAAAATGGGATTTAGACCCAAATAGCACTCTTGGGTACTGTGGTATTTATGTATCTTTGAAATGTTTCAGAATGTGTGCCCTTTGAGTCTTATCATTGTTTGCAATTATATTTTGCAGAGTATTGATATTCAGCTTGGTCATGGTAGAGACAAACACATAAAGACATCCAAAAGGCCTCCATTGCAGAGAACGGTTTCAAGGCCATAACATTTTACCGTGTACAATCAGCAAAGGTGGTGTGGCTAGCAAAGCCTACACTGTTTTTTGAAATTGTTGTGCTACCACTATGTTCCAATCAATGAGAACCTTTCAACCATGAATTTTTATTGATTTGTATTCCCCTGAGGAACATCAGTGGCCTTCCTTAAGTCTTTCAATTTCACTGTCATAATTTATTTTTCTGTAAAAAAAAGAGAGAGGCTGAAGTAAGAATGCTCGAGTACATAAGCGAACTGCAATACTAGGAAGGGGGCAAAATGTTTTTTGTACAAGAAAAGCAAATCCGAAGCACATCCCTAGTTTTGACCTAATCCTTGACATGATATTGAGATGACTGAAAGTTGGCACGGATGCTAATGGTTTTGTTCATTAACTAAATTTGATTGATTAGAATCTGTTTATAGCCTGCAGTACTATGTATATTCACTGAGCAGTAGACTCAATGATCCTCAGGAGTAAGAAACCCCAAGAATTGGGGTTTCCTTGAGAGGAAGAAGCCACAAATTTGTACAAATGCTAGCAGTTGGAGTGGTGCTCTGGAGATGAATCAAGCCTAAATTTCTCCACTATTAACTGTTGAAGCAACATAGATTGTTCCTGTCTCAGGCCCAGGAACCTGACCGTCTATGTCTTCATATATAGAGAGAGGAGGGGAAAAATACCATCTTCTCTATGGCTGCTACAATTCATATGTCTGTGAAGAACAAAGTGGACAGACTGCAAACTAGGTGAGATGGGGGAGAAGCAAAAAGCAAGGTGTGCTGCTTATACACTACTCCATAGCACTTACAGCACTTTCTGAGAGGTTTACAATTTAAATTATGCAGGCTCCACATTGCCCGCCTGGCAAGCTGGGCATTCATTTGACCAACCTAGGATTGAACCTGAATCCACTGGGATTGAAGAGCAGAGTTTTTGACTGCAGGACTGCAATTTAACCACTGAGCAACAGCAATCTGAGCTTGGGCTCTGCTGGCTAGTACTGTAGTATTTTAGATATCTGACTGCTTCTCCCTATTCAGTTTTCTAATGTTTAAAGGTTTCATCAAAATACTCTGAACTATGTAGTGCAATCTTGAGCCTCTAAGTCCTATATCTTCCCTGGCTTGGAGATACAAAAGATGAGATCCACTTAGTCAGAAAAGCCTAAGGCAACTCAGTGTAGTGCTTCCATCTGGACAATACCCCCCCTGAAGCTCTTCAAATACAGTGGTGCCTCGCTTAACGAGGATAATCTGTTCCAGCGAAATTGCTGTACAGTGAAATCCTTGTTAAGCGAAATAAAAAATCCCATTGAAATGCACTGAAACCCCGTTCAGTGTGTTCCAATGGGCTGAAAACTCACTGTCCAGCAAAGATCCTCCATAGGGGCGGCCATTTTCGGTGCCTGTATAGCAAGGAATCTGTCCAAAAACACAGCGGGGAGCCATTTTACACAGCGGGCGGCCATTTTGATGCTGCCGATCAGCTGTTTTAAAATCGTCGTAATGCAAAGAATTGGTTCCCAAAGCAGGGAACCGATCGTCGCAAAGCGAATTTTGCCTATTAAAACATTGTTTTGTGATCGCAAAAGTGATCGCAAAACAGTCGTCGTAGAGCGGTTTCATCGTTTAACGAAGCAATCGTTAAGTGAGGCACCATTGTAGTTCATAGAAGAGAGTAAGGATAGGGAGTGAGCTGGTATCTGGTTAATGTGGGGAAGAGAATGAACATAAGGAAAGATTAATTGAGCACTGAGGTGAAAGGAGAGAAATATTAGTGAGGAAGAAGAGTGGGAGTGAGAGAAAGGAAAGAGCAGAGCAAAAGAGAAAGAAAATGTAGCATTCCCTTGATATAAAGCTGCCTGGTGAGCTGTCATGCCGTCAGTGAAATAACCCTCATCCTAGAATCTTGTGATGGTTGTGTAAGATGGAACCGAACACCATACAAGTACTGAAATTCTGGACCCTAGTGGAAAATGGCAAAGCAGTGGCTTGTCTAAGAGCTCCTGAGCTTTGAAGAGGAGGCAGGCCCACAGAAGGATTCAAACTGAAAGCGGGCAATTTTTTTCTTCACTTTTATGATGTGCCTATCTCAAGGAATGATTCCTTGGGTGTAATGGCTTTCTCATAAATAGGGCATAAGGAAGATTCATGACAAAGTGATTGTAGTGTGGAACTCCGGGAGCTCAGCTTTATGAATCTCATTTCTAAGCTAGAAAGTTGCTAGATTCACAGCATGTCATCAGTTCTAGACTTCATCAGTCCTGTCTTGGATCTGTAGACTTCTAGTTGATTAATTTTAATCAACATGTTTTAGAAACCAAATAATCTGATGATGCATCCTCTCACAGAGTAAAAGTTGAACTCTGCTGCTTTGAACCCTGGATTACCTTTGAGCCTAGTTTTGGATTACTTTTGTCTGACATACCTTCTCTTTCACAAGTTTTTGTTGGCTTGAAACTTATCATACCTTTTGACCTTATTCTGAAGTGTTGTTACCTAAATAGATTGAGATCCTAAATAGATACAATTCTAGAGATCAGATCACATCACATTTTTTTTTTAATTCTAGCTTAGATATAGGGCCTGGAGCCTCTCTGTCCTGAAACAGGAGGAGGAAGGAGAATGAACTAAACAATCATGAGGGAGAAATGCCACTGAGAAAGGAGAAAAAAGAAGAATACCAGTGTAGTAGATTAATGGGGTTTTCTGCAACCTTGTATAATGCGGCTGTCTGTCTGTCTATGCATATTATGTTGTGCTGCTTGGGAAATTCTGCGATTTGTAATGAAGAATGCATACCTGAACACCTCTAATCTATAGTGCGCATGTTCACCATAGTTCCACAACTGTAAAATCTGGACACCCGTACCATGTATGGGTAGTAAGTATGCTGTAGAATGAAGCATCATCAGATTATTAGGTTTCTAAAACATATTGATTAAAATTAATCAGTTGACCTACTGTATCTTTGTAGCCTGCAATATCACTTGCATCACTAGGTGGCAGATCTATCTAATCAAGGAATGAGTATTATTCAGCATAATAGTTCCTGTTAAAATGAAGAGATTCTATAAGAAGCTTCCCCTCACAAAACAAAGCATTGAAGGAAGGAAGGAAGGAAGGAGGCTAGCAAAAGTTTTAGCAAAATAGTTGAGACTATAAAACAGCGAGTGGGAAAGGCTGTATCTATAATAGCTGTGACTTTAGAACAGAAATATGCAGGAGCAGAATGTAGAAAATTAGTTACCTGAATAATGAATTTCAGAATTCTCCAACATTATAGTGGGTCTATGAGTTGTAGTCCAAAACAGCAGTCTTTTCAGTTTCTGTACAATACAGAAACAAAATAATAAAGGCAGGAGCAGGAAGAACCTCTGGCAGAAAGAGAAAATTCTGCATTTTCTACAATTGAGCCTCAGATTACAGTTCTGATACAAGCTGATTCATTGTCAGTTTCTTGCATCCACTTCTACACAGTCAGAAGGAAAGACGATGATAAGGCTCAACTGCGTTGTATGATTGTATACCTCCTGTGAAGAACAGTTTACAAGTAGGCAAGAGATGTGACTATGGGTCCCCATGTCACTCTTAGTGGATGAAGACAATGCCTGATTCTTAAGAAATTCCATACAATTTCTTAATTTTTTTTTTTTCCTGTTACCCTTCTAGTACTATTCTGTGTTTTCACTAGCCCTTACACATCAGAGGTGATGAAAGAAGGTTGCACTAATAAGGACTCTTCAAAATAATAACAGAAGAATACTTTACATAGATAATATTGTAGAAATTAGATGACATAACAGACTATTAATAAGTTTTAGAATGCTTCTTGTTTGATCAACAGTTTTGAGATCTGTTAAATGGCTATTAACAAGAGGCATATATCAAATATGTTAGCATTCATAAATGATAATAATATTACATTGAGCAGTCCTGATGCCTCTGCTTGGTGTGGGCGTCACTCACTGACTGCTTGAACTTCAGTCAAATTACACTACAGAGATACAAAACCAAGGATTTTCATAATAAAAAAGGTAGCATAAATCCAAACCAATGCAAAGCTCTGACAGTTTAAGTACACTATACCTACATAAATGTTTTAGAGAATTATCTTCTAAGCCAAATGGGTTCATTAGAGGCTAGTGTTTAGTTTAGTGCACTACAAGATACCCGATTTACTTCACACAGAATGTTGCAATAAAAACAGAGAAGGAAGAGGGGCTGTCATCACTTAACTTCTATGGCTTTTATATGAGCATTTGGAGAGCCGTAACAGTTTGACATTTCATTTTATTGATGCACAGATATTTAAAATGGAGCTCCTCAAAGTTTTCTTGTACAATAAGGTCAGTGAGTTCTATTTGCTTTCGCACTATTAAAATTAATTAATTGCTGCAACCAATCTGAAGCTGGACAACAGGGCTGGCTCTCTTTATAAATAAAACATGTTCTTGAAGTTGTCAACTGTTTAACGAGCACTGTAGGCAAAAGGCACATATAAAGTTCCCCCAACAGATCATGATGTATTTCACTGAAATATTTATTGCCTGGTTTATTATTATTTAAATGTATATCTGACTCACTGACGAGCACCTACTACTAGGCACTATCTAAAAAGTAGCTTTATATGTTAGTTGAAGGAACTGGAATTACTTAGAAACAATTGTGTGAACTACTATTATATATGAAGTATATGTATATTATGTTTGGGGAGAAGAGAGAAGAGAGATACAGTATATAGATAACTGAGTGGTTTAGGCATCTGCCTTGCGGAGTCAGAGTTTGATTCCCCACTGTGTCTCACTGATGAGTGTGTGTGTGTGTTTGTGTGTGTGTGAGAGAGAGAAAGAGACAGAGACACACACAGAGAGAGTACATATGCATGAAATTCAAACTTTGGAAAGTGTTCAGAAACTTCAGCTAGTCTACTGACTGGAGCTGGTTACAGGGAAACCAAAATCACCTGCCCCCACCCAATGCAGCACTGCTGGCCAAATTGTCATTGGTGAGGGTTTCTATGAACGCCAGGCTGTCTAACCTGCTTGAAGTAGATTTTATTTACAGTATATAGATAACCGAGTTGTTTAGGCATCTGCCTTGCGGAGACAGAGTTTGATTCCCCACTGTGCCTCACTGATGTGTGCACGCACACACACACACATGTGTGTGTTTTTGTGTGTGTGTCTGTGTGTGAGAGAGAAAGAGACAGAGACACACACAGAGAGAGAACGTATACATCAAATTCAAACTTCGGAAAGTGTTCAGAAACTTTAGCTAGTCTACTGACTGGAGCTGGTTACAAGGGAACCAAAATCTCCTGCCCCCACCCAATGCAGCGCTGCTGGCCAAACTGTCATTTGTGTTGGAGTGGGGGTCCAGGTATCCTGCCAGTCACTGAGGTCTCCATGGGGTTCATGATAGCAGCAGACTGAAGATGGGTGTGCCTCCATCACCTTCTCCCTCTCTTAGCTAATGGTCTATCCAGGGCCCTGTGCAAGCACCATGAAAATATATGCACTGCACATCTCAGGACTGGATCCAACTCCTCTGTCATTTCACTCGACTTTTTATTGGCTGTGTCTGATTAATCCCACATATAAACTTTTCCCTCTTTTTCCCTTTCTTCCTCCTTTATCCCCAGTCACCCTTCCTACAATCTGTCCCCCACCCCCTCACTGAGATATGTCATATTGTCTCTCTTTTCTTTGTCTCCACCTATAGGTTGTCCTCCCATATTTGCACCCTCCTGGGACCCAGGAACTTCAGTTTCCTCTGCAGCAGGAGGTGCAGGATGGAGGCAGATGACTTTTTCAGGAGCACTCATTATGACCTGCTCACACATTACAACCTTTTAACTGGCTGCTGGGTCATTTCTGGGCACAACTCATAGTACTGTTTTTAACCTATAAAAACCCTAAATGACTTAGGTTCAGGCTATGGGGACAGGACATTTTCAATGGCTGTTCCTGGGCTATCTGTTCTGTGGGAAACCAGTCTGGTCCAAACCCTTCTGTCCCTCCATCAGCAAGTTTTATTGACAGGTTCTACCAGCTAAATACACACATCTGTGTTGTGCTTTTTAGTAATTAATGTTTGATTGTTTTTTAATTACTGTATGTGATTTTTATATTGTTAATTTTTTCAATATTTGTGTTTTAAAACTCATTGTAAGCCATCTTGAGTCCCTCTGCAGAAATAAAGGCAGGCTAGAAATTAAATTAAATAAATAGTAGTTCAAAAGGATACCATGGTGTTGGTATCAAAAACTGAGGAAATGTCAAGGAGATGTAATGGGCCTGCACTCCCCATATCTAGTCTCCACTATAGGTATTCCATGAAGATGACTGTAGCAATCTCTGTCCCCTATTCTGGCTGAAAACCCATCTGAATTAAGTCCAGATAATCAATATCATCTAAATGCATCTGAAACTGTGAAATAATGTGAAAATACATTCTGAAGTTTGATCAGGAATACAGTACATCTATTGGGGAAGACTGGCATTGGTCACATCTAATGATGCCATCAGCCATGCTCAGTGTAACTCACACAAGATTTCAGCCACAAGATCTGTGTACCTTCTTAATGTACTATTTAAGTGCCAACTGTTGGTGAGCAATTCAAAGACCCCTATTTCCCCTTCTTATTGCAGAACCCTTCAAACACTGGTAATCTTTCCACAGAGGGCTGTTTTCTGCAGCCCTTCAAACAGATCACTGACTTCTGTCACATAGAGCATGGATTCCTAGAGACTGGTTTAGTGTTTCCATTGTAATTTTATAGTTTTCAGTATGTAGAGAATGGCCAAAATCCTATTGGTGTTTGCATAATATTTGCGTAACTTGCTGCAGCTGATTGTGGCTAATTGATATGGTGCCAAGATTTGACATGTCAACTCATCAGTGAGCCAAAATTAACTGTAGGAAGTTACAAAAAACCTGACACAAACGCCAACAGGATTCTGGCCAACACATTTTATATGTGTTACAGTTTTCCCTTACAGATGAAAGCATTATTATTTTTCAGTAGTGAAACTACATTAATTGACAGCGAAAGAAAACAGCAGCTTAAACTTGGAGTTTAATTATGAAGGAGTTGCCATTATCATTCAACAATGCCATACCAAAAAATGTCACTTCTGGTCTTAGTTGTATCTACAACCAGGAGTTGTGTATTGCTTTTCTATTCTTCTGTCCAAATAACAATAATAGTCCTTATCTGGCTTCCTGCCTTTTATGACCTCTAAGTCATCTGTACATCCATAAGAGTACCCTAGATTCAAATAATTTATCTCAGGGTTTTTTTTTCATACTCTTCTTCAAGTAGGATAATTTTGTTCTTCTATTTATGCTGCAGATCAGGAAGGAACATTGGCTTGCCTAAGGCCACCCATGAAGTTTACAACTCAGGTAAGGTCTGAGGCAGGCAAGCCTTTCCGCTTTACAGCTGCCATGCTTGACTACTAAAACGTAACAGCCCCCACATCATTGAAGTATTATCTGAAAAACAGGCAGCAAAGATATAATTCTTCCCTGAGGTTTTATTATTAAGGGATTTGCCTGAGGGTGGGCAAGAGAGAGTTGCCTTCCTTCTGGTCCTATAAAGAACAATATAATAAGGCTGACTTGAAAACTCACAGAATAGTACCTTCCAAATAGATTCTTCCTTGACTGTGCATGCAAAGCATTAGAAAGCGTTTCTCTCAAGACTCCATTACAACAAGCAAGAGACCCCTCCTTTTCTTTTTGTTTCCATAGGCTGCAGGCTGCTGCTCTCTTTTATTATTAAGGGCTTTGGTTTCCTGCTGTCCATTATCATTCCTATAAATATTTTAATAAATACTGTGCCATGATTCTGATTAGGAAGAAAGAAATCTTCACTTCCTTTTCATCTGCTACACTGTTTACTACCATGGATTTGAACTAAATCTTCCGGGACATATTCAGAGTTCCCCTTTGACTATGTTCTGTCAGCCTCCTTCTCTAAGCTATTTCAATGCAAGATGATAAAAATGTTGCTGAAACTGTTCTTTTCCCATCGTGTTCCTCTACTCAGTATACTCCTTGAGGTGTTATTCCACCCCCCCTGTCATTTTTCTTAAAGGAAGAAAATTAAACATGACAGTGAATAGGACTCCCATCCTATAATACCAATTCTTCTGATTTGCATTTTGGCAGCCATAGTCTGTGCACCTTTCTCCATCTCTTTCGAATCTAGTGTAACACATTTCCATCATCACCTTGGCGCCAGCAAATCTGCATGTAATTGATCCTGAGGGAGGCATGGGGATTAGTGCTAGAGGAAAGATATTCGCAACTGAGCTGGAAA